CTGGAGTCCTTAATCTGGAAGCAGACAGAACAGCACCTAAAGCCAAGTTCACACTACAGGATTTTAAGCCCGAGGGGGTAGTTTGCCACCAACCATAGATATCCTAAAACTAGGGGATTGGGCGGTGTGTGAATGAGCAGAAAAGAACAACATGGGTGGCTCCAACTAGAGTTCTTATGGGATCCAGCCTCTTATGAAGACTCCAGATGACCCAACACCTGAGAAAAGATGACGCCAACCCCTGCGAGGACCTAAGATGACACCAACTTTGAATACATACACAAAACTGCTAATTTTTTCTTACATTGTAATCATTATGATCACAACATGTAATCATTGAAACAGTATGTGAAAAGCACTATACAAATAAATGTGAATTGAAATTAAATTATGGATGAAAGTACAATGGTCAATGATTCCCAAGTTGAGTGAGCATCCATCTAGTGCCATCAAATTTATCCAGCAGGGCCGGCTGGGGGTTAGATGAAATTAGCAAAAAGGGCACTGGGAGGAGGTTAAGGATTCTCAGCTTGGGACTGAGCAGGTATAGAGGGAGAGAATCAGCTATTCCAGGGGTTTTCAAATCTGTCCTAGAGCAACCCCAGCACTGCAGATTTTGTACCTCAGAATTAATGTGAGTGAGACCTCTATTGGTGGAGATGATAAATTACACCTTTCTTTCATCTCTGACAAGAATTTCCTGACTCATTACTGTTTTCTAAAAAGTCAACTATAATGGAAATCTGAACGTCAAAGGGTTTATTACTGTTCCTTTTATGATGATGGAGTCCTCCTTTGAGGTGTAGTCACAATCACCAGGGTCATGTTGCATCAGCCAAAACTGTTTTATCATTTAAAGAAATATTGTACTTTTAAATAAAGACCATTGTTATGCTCTAAATTGTAAACCAATTAAGCACATTACAATCAAACAGCCCACTTTACCCAAATTCACCCTAAAAAAAAATCTATATTTCAAATGAACAAGATTAAGGAACACCTGTCATTAGGTTTTGTTATTTTGTTATTTTTATGTTTTTGTAGTTTACGTTCCATAACTAAATACATAATACAGTATAATATAATAGAAATGGTTGGGAATTAGGTTATGATTACTGCTTGTAAATGGATGAATAGAGATTTAAAGATGGATTTTGTAAATCTGCCTCAAAGCATGGAGATATGATGAGATCAGTCATGCAAGTAGCTTCGGATGAGATCAAATCAATGTAAGAGCTTTTAATATCAGAAATGTCCTCATATTTGTTCTTTGTCCTCTTATCCCACACATACGCACACTTTCCACAAACCTCACACACACACAAAAAAAATGCATAAAGAAATGCAGACAATTCTCAAATAAATATTTACACACCAATCTGTCATACACTTGTCCTGTTTGCTCTGCTGCTGTTTTAGAGTGGCCTTGTAATAATAGCGGTTGGTGTTATGGAGCAGCTCAGGAACATCCTGTGTGTCTCTCTGGCCAAAACACTACACAAAATGGTTTCATCAAATATAAAAAGTGTGTTTGTCTACATTAGCATTAGTACATACACAATACACAAAGTAGTGATGAATATTAAACCTGAAGATAAACGTGTGCTACAGAGTTATCAGGAAGTGTAGGGAAAAAAAAAGAGTCAATCAGGTGCTTGTTTTTAGATTAGCATACAAAATAATGCTATGACACTAAGAAGATTTAGGTATAAAAGTATAAAAGACAAAAATGTTGCAATATGGATCAAATACATATGGAATATATCCTTCAATGATAAATATGCTGTGGTACAGAAATAAATAATATGACAAACATCAAATATTTCTCTGGAATTCTCAGTATTAACCACTTTTTACAACCAGTTTAACCTACATAACTGTCCTTGTCACAGTTTAGTTCTGCCCTAGGACTTATGTTTTAAAGTTTATTCTGTTCCGTTGTTTCTTTCTTCATCTCCTGAGTTCATTTCTTGTATTTAGTTCCTGTTTCCTCTGTTACCTTTCTCTGGTAAGAGGCTGTGTCCGAAAGCTAAAAAATGCTGCCTCCGCACCAGCATATGGAGGTAGGAAGGCAACATGGATGAATCCTTTATAGCCCACATAATATCCCACAATTCTGTGCATTCCATTTTGCGATAGTTGAGCTAAAAAATAAATAAAGATTGTGTCTGAAAGTTGTAATTGGTTGTCAGTTTGTTGGTGTCACACTTCGGCTACTGCTACTATGTTGGAACCAGGAATCGAGGCGACGTCAGAGTACTTCAACATAGAACCATCTTTATTCATCCAAATAAAGAGACATAAAGGCAAGCCGCACACGTAGCAGGGGGAACAAACGTTTAACAGCAGACAAAGAAACTAGGAATTAGACTCACTATAAATACACAGGACTTGAGGGGAAGACGAGGAACACCTGGAACTAATGCAACAATGAACATGGGAAACACCTGGGACAAATAATAAACAATCAGGGAACAGGAAGACCAAATAGGGGCATGGAAACAAACATCTGACAGTTTGCAAATGTTCATATTTTTTACTAAAATTGTCCACTTTTTTATATAATTTCTAGTGAGAAATTAGTACTGTAGTAATTAAATATTCACTTAGCTCTCTCTATTTTGTCATAGATCATTAAACTATATTATGCTGCCTCGAAATCAGTTTTGGGAGGAACATATGTTCCTGGGAGGAACAGTGCACAAATGTTGCCTGCAAAGTCATTGCCTGAAAGGGAAGCAGGAAAACAAGTCTGAGACACACTGCATGATTTTCGGCTGTCCTAGATGAAAGATTGCTATCGTGAAACAATCGTGGCGATTTCTGTGATCGTGGCTCCTAATCGATGGTCCTATGTTGTACAGTGAGAGAGGTTCAAAGACGGTCAAACAAAGATAGCCTTTGATAATTTTCGGACAGTGTCAGAAATTCAGCATGATCATCGCACAGTGTCTCCTGCTACAACCTACGTCTACTGACCAGCCAATGAAAATGCAACATGAAATCATGATCATCACAACAAGGCGCTAAAACTTAAAACTGCTTACCTCAAACTCCTCTTTTTTTCAGCACACATAAAAAGTACAACTGCCAAAGTATGATTCGTCATGCTATTTTTGTTTATGACTAGCACATGCTGATGACGTTTTATTCTTCAATAGTAACGTGCATCGTAGCCTACGAGTCACTAGGTGTCATCATCGTACAGTCTGCATACATGTCGTACCCAAGTTTATTAGATCCATGTCGCACCGTGTGATTTGTAATGATCTTATAATCTTATAATGATCTTATATAGAGGGCAGTCGTGGCCTAATGGTTAGAGAGTCAGACTTGTAACCCGAAGGTTTGAGTCTCAGTTCCGGCAGGGATTGCCGGTGGGGGGAGTGAATAATCTTCCACCCTCAATACCACGACTGAGGTGAGACCCTTAAGCAAGAACCGAACCCCCAACTGCTCCTCAGACGCTGCAGCAATATGGCTGCCCACTGCTCTGAGTGTGTGTGTTCACGGTGTGTGTGCACTTGGATGGATTAAATGTAGAGCACAAATTCTGAGTATGGGTCACCATACTTGGCCACATGTCACTTTACTTATAAGATTGCTGAAATCTCACAGTTTGTAGAAGGCTTAAGCCTTGGAATGCAGCCAGTATGTTTTCAGTTTTTCCTTTGGTTACCAATTATGTTCCTCACCTGTCTCTTGTTTAGTTCCTCGTTTACCTGTGTACCTTGTGTTTGTAGCTTGATGTTATGGTGTTTGTCTTAGTTTAGCATGCTGTTACGCTGCTTTTTGTTTCTCCTGTGCCTTTGTGGATATTCTCATTTTATTTGATTAAACTGCTGCTAAAAGTATCCTTATCTCTGATCTCCTTCATCCCTGCTGCACCCTACTGATGTTTCAAATATCACTCTATCATCTACGTAGCACAGTGGTTCTCGATTCCAGTCCTCACGACCGCCCGCTCTGCACATTTTATATTTTTCTCTTACCACTTCAGACGTTTGTTCTATTTGACTGTAAGTGCCCTGCAAAGTCGACATCATTGGATGTTCCGCCATGATTCCAGTTCGAAGGGAGTGTAAGGGCATTAAAGTGTGCAAGACGTGAATTTAAATTGTATTTATTTACAGAGGTATATTATGTCACACTTCTCTAGTGAGTTTGGTCTGTGTGTGAAGATGCTGCAGGCCGTGGCGTAGCGCAAATCCATGAATAAATGTTCCGAAGTGAGGTAAACTTCAACGGATTTCCCATGCTGGGAAGTAGGGAGCAATGAACACTGTGTAGGGACCCTGTCAATCAGAATACAGTTCATGCGTGGAGCTCTCTTCTAATGAGCTGGTTATCTGAATCAGGAGTGTTAAATAAGAGAGACATGCAAAATATGCAGACCGGGGGATTGCCAGGACTGACATTCTCAGTTTCATTGGTTTGTTTGAGTTCTTCATGATACTGGGTGGTCATATCTGGAACTTGCACAAATGATGCAACATCCTAACAGAATATAAAGGAAATAGTTGACAAACTTTCACACAACCCACTTTTATTAATGAAAAATTATAATCTCTCAGAAAAACAAAAATTTAAAAATGTGAAATATTTTAAACAACCTATTTCACACACATCAAACTTTTATAAAAATGTGTAGCTTCATTCCTGTTATAATACAGTAATTAAAACAGTAATAAAATCAGGAGATGACTTTGATGCTGAGATGAGAAGGTAGTGAACAGTACTTGCCATTAGAAACCCGTAGCAGCTTAGTAGTGTCATAACATTCGCTTGCCTGTTTTTTGCATGTTTGTTACTTCATTTAACAAATTGTTAAATATGTTTATAATGCACTCAAACTTTCTTCATATAAGTTAACAAAACTCAGTTAAATTGATATAAAGGCTTAAAACAAAGAAATAGGAGACAAAATGCCCTGTTGAGGGAACAAAAATATTGCAAATTTGTACATCCTCAGGCCTTGTGATTTATCTGTATAGTAAGGTCTAGTGGCCGTCACCCCGCAGTCTTGCAGGGTCCGTTTTACTCATGCAGTCTTTAAGACTATCCTTCAGTTGGACCAGCTGCTCAGAATGGCTGGCTAGTGTCCCATTGACCTGCACCAGGAAGCTGTCCGAATGTCTTTCCAGCTCACTGCGGATTCTCTCAAGGTCATCGGCTAGCTCACCTAGGCTGCCACACTGTCCTTCAACCTGGGTGATTCGACTTTCCACCCCAGACACTTCCTGTTGCATTCCCTGCGTTGTGGTGCGACAACCCTGCAGCTCCCCAGCTAGCCTCCGCCGCAAGCTCTGGAGTTCTGCCTTCAACTGGATTAGCCTCCGCTCCCCGGCTCCAAGCATAGATGCCTGTCGTTCCACCAGACCTGAGATTTCCTGCACCCGCGTGACCAGCCGGTTTTCCCGCTCCTGCCAGGTGGAATTCACCTGGCCGACTTCTCGAGCAAACAGGCTGACCGAATCGCATAGCCCTTTCAAGGTACGATTGACAGAGTTGACGTTGATCTTCAGGAGTGTGATTTCCCCCTGGATGGAGCCCTCTGCGTCTTGCTGAGATAGATGTGTAAGGACACTCTGTAAGGTGCTGTTGAGATGGTCCAGTTTGCTTGAATGCACGGCCAGGCGGTCCAGCATCTTCTTTTCTGTTTCCTTACAGTCCTCTACCTCAGTCTTGATGAGGGCCATCTCTGGGCTAGAGGCAGGGGAGCAGGCAGAGGTGCAGAGGAGCTCAAGGATGGACATCTGCTTCTGCATCCCATCTAAGTCAGCCTCCACCCTCCTCCGAATACTGTCAATCTCTGTCTCCAGTGCTGGCACCACTTGCCCCTCTAGCAGTGCCGGTGCTGTGGCATTGCTCAACTCCTCAACTGCTACAAACAAACGTCGCTCTAATGTCTTTAGCTTATCATCTAGCAAAGTCTTAAACCCATCCAGGGAGCTGAACTCAGACCCTAACCCATCTTGGTGTCTATGTTCAGAGGCATTAATTTTGCCCTCCATGTCCACCAGCCGGGTCTCCAGCCGGGTCTCGATGTGGAGCGTCTGGTCAGTCAGGTCCACTTGTAGCTGCCTCTGGGACTCAGTCAGTCCTGTAATTGAGTCCTCCAGCTGGACCATCCTCTGGGTCAGGCTGTTTATTTCGCCACAGCAGCTCTCGGTTACAGTCAGACCCTGGATCTGTGCCTGTAGCTCACCTAGCTCTTTCCTCAAGCCCGTCTCACTGCCGTCCAGCGAGATTTGGATCTGTTCTTGACCTGTTAGGTGCTCTTTGTGACACTGCTGCTGAACCTAATGACAGGACACATGAGATGTTATTTTAACAACTGGAAGGATTAGGTGAATCAATTTTGTATCATAGATAATAATGCGCTGCCTCAGTGTTTTGTTATGTAAAGTTTAATCCTAATGCAAAATCTAGCGTAGCGTTAGTTCTGCACTGTAAAATCCAATAGTTTACCTTACTTAGATTTAGTTAGTTATCTTTACTTAGTTGTTATACTTACTAGGTTTTATTAAGTTACAGCTACTTTCAATCATCTTTGACGATAGTGGTCCTGACAGAAATGAATGAGTTATTTATCTCTTAGATTAATAAATCCCAACTCATATATATATAACCCAGGGCTCTACAGTGCAGTAATTTCAAAATTACGGCATTACTGCAAAATTACTGCAATCATACAGAGAAAGAGCTTTGCTACTGTGCAACATGATGCAAAAATGAATGCATGCTTGAATATTGATATGTTTGCTGATCTACGGGAGAGTCCAGTTAATGTTAAATAATATTAATTAACAATTAATATTTGCGAGCAGTCTTCATCACAAAGGTGAGGTAGTTAATGTGCTGAATGTTCACAGTATCATGATAATCAAGTTATAACATCAAACCTAAAAGAGGTGTATGAGCAAGTGTATCAATCTTGTTTCTAAATTGTCGTAATTATTAATTTAGTGTTCACTCAGTTTTCCCTGCTTGTGTATATCTACTGTATGCTGCAATGTGACATATTGATGTATTTCAAAAACTGAATTTTGACTGTGCCCTTTTGAATTCATGCCATCTTCAAATAAAATGTAAATGTAAATGCCTTATACAGTATGCTGTTATTTAGAGCTTTATTAGAGATTTAGTTTAATTTAGTTTAATTAGAGATTTTTTTTATTTATGTGCCCCCGTAATCTTAAATCAAGATCTTGAAGCTTGTATAAATATCAAAATGGGAAAGAAAAGTCAGTCGCAATTTCCGCTTCATGCTGACTTAAATTAGAACAAATAAAAGAAACGCCATCATGCACAAGTGTCCAACTAGTTCCTAGCGCAAAGCTCAGTGATCAACACACCTGACCGATTCTCTCATCACAGTGGCTCTCCAAACCCGTCAGTCTCCTCTCAAAGCCATCGAGGACCTCCGCCCTCATGCCGGTCAATCTGGAGTCCAGAAGTTCCTCTAGATGCCGCTGATCTCCAGGGATGAGCCTCCCTGTGGCAGTGTCTATCAGCTTCTTTAGCTGGCCGTCGTGTCCCATCACCATCCCATGGATCTCGTCCAGCATGTCGCTCTTGGCCCTCAGCTCATCTTTGACCTCCATCACCCTTCCCACCAACTCTCCAAAACCAGGGAGGTTCTCTTCGCCGTCTAAGCCATTCGACGTGCCCTCTGGGATCAGCCCGAAGCCCACAGAGGTATCCAGCAGCCGCGGGGCGCCACCGAGCAAGGTGATCAGCATCTTCTTAGTGTCCTCCCGAAGAGAGACTCGCAGACGTTCCTCCATGCCAGTCACCAAGCCATTCAAGGTGTCCAGATCTTGAGAGAGTTTACGAAGGTTTTCTTCAATGCGGTCTAAACGTTCACCAGAGACTCCTGCTTTTGGACCTTAGAAGTGAGTAAAAGATAACTTTTACAACTTTACAAACTACATTTAGGAAATTAGAAAGGCGTAGATCAGGGCTTCCCATCTGCAGGGGGTTTGTGAAAAGCTAATAATATACATTATAAAATTTAAATAAATAAATTAGGCTGCATGATAACAGCAGTAAATGATACACAGTAAATGTGGCAAACTGTGCTGTGAGTTTAACATGCATTTGGGAATGCAACATGCTCTAGGATTTGCACCTTCATATAATTTCCAAGGTTTTTGTTCACAGAAGTTTACAGCATTTCATGTTGTGAGGAGTTAAAATGTTTAAAGCTTGAGAGTTTGATTATTGAAAGTGACGAATTTATGATATAAATACTATTATTGCAACTTATAGTGTTAAATAATATTATTATAATTATTATCAAATATTTATTTCAAATGTATATATTTAACTAAATTGATATATTTTACATATTTAAATGTATTCTAAATTAAATATATATTCTGATATATTTATTTTACAGTACAGTTGTAATTTACAACTATAATATTTGACCCTGGAGCACAAAAGCAGTCTTAAATCGCTGGGGTATAATTGTAGCAATAGTCAACAATACATTGTGTGGGTCAAAATTATTGATTTCTCTTTTTTGCCAAAAATCATTAGGATATTAAGTAAAGATCATGTTCCATGAAGATATTTTGTAAATTTCCTACTGTAAATATATCAAAACTTAATTTTTGATTAGTAATATCCATTGCTAAGAACTTAATTTGGACAACTTTAAAGACGATTTTCTCAATATTTTTATTTTTATTTTTGCACCCTCAGATTCCAGATTTTCAAATAGTTGTATCTCGGCTAAATATTATCCTATCCTAACAAACCATACATCAATGGAAAGATTATTTATTCAGCTTTCAGATGATGTATAAAACCCAATTTCGAAAAATTGACCCTTATGAATGGTTTTGTGCTCAAGGGTCACTCCAGGGTTTCTCTCTTAAATTTCATAATTAAAGCAAAATAATAATAACATTACTACTACTACTACTACTACTACTATTATTATCATTATTATTATTCAGTTTGATTGTGTTTCTAAAACACCAATGTGAATGTAATGTAGACTCAGCAACAAATATATTTATTTATACATTTATCATGGGGTATTTCAAGAAAATATTTGAAGTTTGGCTGACAAAAAAAAAAGTTTGGGAAACCCCTGGAGTAGATTATAAAAAATAATAATAATCACCATCATCATCATTACTTTATCATAATCTGTGTTTTGTTTTGTTTTTTACAACTATACTTAACCCAAATGTTAATATTAATTGCAGTGTTCATAGTCAAATTGCTAATGGTGGCACATTGAGAGTTGTGTGAGCTGTGTAATTTGCACTTACCATAAGTTGTTTTAGGAGTCTCTGGTGGCAGGTATCCACTAGGGATGGGCTTGTTGTCAGGGTGACCTCCAGGAAAGGGGAATGGTTTACCAGGCTCCAGCCTTGATACAGGGATATTGGGATGACCCCTGGCGTAACCCTTCAGCCCGGGCCGAGGGAAAGAGCCTTTGAAGGGTGGCATCATTGCATCCGGGTTGGAGGTCGTCCCATCACCGCAGTTCTCTCCAGAGTAACCTGGGCAGCAATGCCACTCCAGTTCAGTGATGGTTTTATAAACGATTTTGTACTGTGGTTTAAAGAGTGTCCGATACCTGCAGGGAAAAACACACTGAATGTCACAGAACTTCACACTTCGCCATCCATTCGCCCTGTGTACATCAGTTAGAATTAAATCAGTGAGGAGATAAGCTTCAGGAGTTTTATTCACTGATGTTCAGGCATGACAGTAATGATGCAGCCTATTATACAGTTTAAAAACACATGCTTCCATATTTCAGATGGAGATGGAGTTTGAGTATCTCACACATGTTTACATACAGATGCCACATAATATATAATATTAATATAATATTAACAGTACTCAGAGTTGCCACTAGAGGGCTCAAACACCAAATAACACCGCAAATGGTATCAATAACAAAATAGCTTCTAACATATATCATTCGCTGTTTTTTAACCAAGTCTGAAATATTTGAGACCATCTTTCTCCTGCTATTTTGAAAAATATAAATTCCCCATTTGGAACTAAATTTTGTTGTAACACTAAAACCCCTCCATGTTATTCCATTCAAGAATCATAGTGCTTGACTTACATGAGCACAGGACATTTCTGTCCCCATATGCACTTGGTAGTGTACTCCGGTTTGACATATGTGGCCACTCCATCTTGCATTACACAGGTGACGTTCTTCTGGACAACGTAGGCACAGAAGTTCCTGTTATAAAGAAAGAAACATGAAAAATCAATCAAAGTCTGAAAAGATACGATCTTATTAGAAGTGTTACGAGTTTTGTGATGGAAACCATCATATATTATTTCACTTTAGAAGTGTGAAAGTAAAATTACTTTTTCACCGAGCAAAATAACATCAGCTACCCAAGGAATAAAGTTAAGGTTTTAACATCCTCACAAAAACTATAAAAATGCAGCAAAATGATTCATTCAAGCATCAAATCACCTAATCAATAAGCATTAAAGCAACTCAGCAGTCCAGCATTCCAAGCTGAACCTGCCATCAGAGTTCACTATGAACACATTCACTCACATCCATTCAAACTTTTACATCTGAAGTGCAACTATAGCAACTGCCTAGAGTCCACCGCAACGAGAAACAACAGAGAGAGAGAGAGATACTGGCTATGTAGCAAAAATAGCATGTGAAACAGTATAGATTAAGCAGCGACAAACAGTTTAAACAATAATATGCCTCATGAACTCATTATGAGACATGTTTATTTTTGCAGCTTTTGTTTATCTATCATCTGTCTATTTATTTATTTACTATGTTGAGTAAAATTTCTTCATTTTTAACAGTTTGATCAAATAATGACTCAAAAAAGAGATCAAAACCATGATTGATATTGTGAACGGGTCATTCATCAGACAGTAAATGGAAGGTCAAGTTGTATGATTTGTATTGTTGGACACAGTATTTCTATTCGGTGCACTTTGTTATATAGTGCACATTTAGCAATTATGGTAGGTCAATGGATATCCCGTGCATACTAAAATATGCATACTGTGTGCTGCATACTGCAAAAATAACAGTAATAGACTGACCAGGTCAATAAATTGTCAATATTTTACAATTTTGTGATTTGTATTGCATTTTATATCATTAAAATGTATTATATCATGTATAACATAATATGTGTACTATATATCTGATTTTATAGTGGCTTTCCTCTCAGCCACTGAAAATGTTTACTAAAAAAGTATAGTATATACTTGTTTACTAACTCATACCAAGGGACTCAAATTCGGAGCCACATCATACAGTAATTACACAGTTCAACAGCTGTTGAGATCTGATTTATGGCTGTCTAATGCTATCTGCTGTGAAATGAACACACTTTTGTTACACATACATAACACATAAGGAAACCCACATTTGGCCATAAATATGCACTGTACAGCCCACATATACATGTGTCTAAACACACAGAGTGCCCATAGTAAGAAGAGTATGTGATTGAAGAGCAGCCATGCGTTGCTGTACTGGAGTTGGCATTTTCCAAGCGAGCCTGGAGCAAAACTCAAAGTCCTGCTGTTCAACAGTGGTACTGCTTCAGAGATCTGGGCTGTTACAGAGCTTCAGTCATTCACAGCGTGTAAGAGAGTTCAGGTGTAGTGACCCCTGACATTAACGAATCTAATTACAAGTGTGGTCAGGGAACTAACCTGGGATTTTGGTAGAAATTCACATTACTATCTTAAAGCAGCCTCGAGATTCTTAAAAATATGTATATTTTTATTGATATTTGCAATTTTTGCAATTCAACTGTGGGTCTATAAAACACCATTATTAGCATGCATATTACTAACATATTGGATGTTTATTAGTACTTATTAACATATTATTAAGCACATATTAATGCCTTATGCAAATGAGGAGTTTATTGAGGCAAAAGTTGTAGTTAATAGTTAATTAAAAGTGTGAATTGGTCCCCAAACTAAAGTGTGACAAATTACTTATTATACAACAAAAGTCGTAAAAAAAGTATGTCAAAATTTGTATTTTGTGAATAATAGACCATTTCTCACTTACAGTAACTAAAAAAGACCCCTGTGACTTGCCTTCTTTAGTAGGTGGCATTAAACAGATCTGTGCAAACACTGAAAATGAAGGGAATAAATACATACATAAATAACTAAAGGTAGAGGATCTAGAATTTCTGCCTGCGTGTAATGAAAAACAGACTTTGGCATTCAGCATTTGTTTGTCAGGTGAGCACACACTTGGAAGAAAAAGACAAGCTCTGTAGTCAAGCAAAATGAGTCCAGGTGTCCAAATGTTCCCCATGTATACATAACCCGATTCAACCATATCTACACGGGTTCATTCAATCAACGTGAAATTATGCCCACAGGAAGAACAAGAGAAAACGTTACACATAAAGAGTGTGTTCATGTTAGACGTGTCAAAGTTTCAAGCATTGCTTAAGTTTCTGTCAGTGACTGCAAAAAACAAATGTTCAGCAACAAAAACCCCTTTACAAGAATTGCATGCATTTGTGTTTGTTCACACGGAACAAAGAACTTGCGATGCTGCTCGAATTACAGTATCATGACTTGTGAAAGGACAAATTAACACATTGTCAGGCATGTAAAGTGATCAAAGAGCCTCCTGTGATGCATTAAACAGCGCCTGTGATCTGTGTGTTGCAAATGAAAGACGAATATTAGCTGTGCAGGCTGATCTCCCAAACCACAAAGACCACACAGCATGAGGAAAACGTGTGTTCATCTGTCAGAGGAATGGTGTAAAGAGGCATTTGAGACTGTTGGAGACATATTTCCGCTGCTGTGTCTTCTGTGTGTGCCGGATTCATCTCAGGAGATAAAATGCAGTGAAGAATAGATAATGTGAGGGGGCTCAGTACATACACCTGAGGTACACCACTTGAAAAAAGAGAAGCAAAATTAATCTCAGCCGTCTAATGCATATTGCAAAATAAAGCTGGACAGCACTAGTGAATATGGCAAGCTCCAATCAGATTGCCCGACTGCAACAGTTTCTGGAAGTCTGAAAGTGGGAGGTTTTTAACAGTCTAATAATTGGATTTTATGAGGTTTGTGGTTTCAAATTTCAATCAAGTTTCATTTGAGCCATTTAGTAGCTAGTAAATATTTATCTATTTCATATAACCCATTAGTGGTTGGTAATTGTACATGCCAGTCACATTATCTCTTCCTGTCTAAGTGGGACGTTATTGTCCAGAATAAGCTGATAAATGAACCAGACTTGGACCAACTGGCTACATGTGACTAGCATAAAAAACAGCCACACAACTACCAAGCCACACAAATTGTTTTAGACCATCATGTAGCTCAGGATTTGGCTGTGGATTTTCATAATCTAAATATAAATGGCCAGCATTGTTTAAAATGACCCCCAGTCACCCCTGAGTAATGCACAGGCATGTCATAAGCTTTTAATGGCACTTAACGCTTACAGTTGTGAGATGGAGTTGTGCCAGAATGTCCCCTTGTTCTCCATATAAATATCTCTATCCATTTTTTCATTGTTCTTTCTATCTCATCCACTCTCTCACTCGCACTAATGGAAGCAATCTTTCATCGGTCACTGGGTTCAGTCATTGGTCATGTCTTAAAGAGTCGTTCTTGAAGGGATGGGGCTACTGACAGTATAAATATGGAGATACGATGCATGGAGGCTTTTTAGGATCCATTAACCAAAGAAAGAGGAGCTGCTACATGCTATTGAACAATGGGATACATTTAGTACTCAGATACTGTATCCGTCCTCCAGAATAGCCAGAGTTCAGAGAAGCAATATAAATGGACTTTCACTCATGCTAATTTGACCTGCTCTCATGGACAGCATTCAATGACACATGCAGAAATAGATGGATCAGTTATTTTCTACCTAATCACTATGGAACGCATCTGTGGCAAGGTGTCAATTACCATGTATAAATGAACAGGAAATATGTTTAAAGTACACTTTAAGCCAAAAATTCCAAAGCAGAACATCTTTGTCTCTGGCAGTCCTACTGTAAAGCTGTTCATAACTGTACATTTATCTTTTTTATATAATAATAATTTTGAGATGGGCTGCGTTCCTGGATGGGGAAACTTCTGGTTATCTGCCAGAGGTGTCATGGTCTGGCCGGTTAGCATGGTCCAGTTAGGCCCTGCTGGTACAATAAATGCTGTAACAACGTCATTCTGCTGCCAATAAGGATCTTCACAAATCACAAATATTTATTTATATCAAAGTAGATGTTTTGCCAGTGACAAATTATTTCAGAGAATATCAAATTAACTTTCAGACATTTGGATGTCAAAGCTCAGGATAATCACTAGTGAAAAGCTTGAGGCTCTACTACGTTCTTGTGGCTCCTACAGCTAATCAGGATTATCATGATGCCACATGGCATGGTTACATGGCATTTATTGGCTGAAACAGAACTGTCAAGTAATCACTACTTTCTACTACTGGACCTATTAAAGTTTTCACACAACCCAATGTGCTGACTTTTATTGGGTGATATGATCTTAATAGAATCAGTATTTAAAATAACACACTCTTTCATCACTAGCAAAGCACTTAGGTGAATGGGATATTAGTAAATGAATCCCACCAGTCTCATGCTGAGAAGATGCATCATTTTTAAAAGTTGGATAAACTTCAAATGCATTGTATATTCTAAACATTTATTTGTGTGGGGTGTCTGCTTGCATGTTAAGCTTCTGTAATAATGACATAACTTTAAACATTTCTCGTTCATTTAAACAGCTTGTATGTGTTATGTGTAGACATACACAAAAAATCTAAATTGTTGTTTGTGTCAACAGATGTGTCACAGATGCTGTCCATAGACATTAGATAAGTCAGAATCACATACTTTCATGAACCATCGCAGTCTGTTAACTGACCGCCTAATGCATACTGTGACAAACTGACAACTGGAAAGATGTAATCTGATTTCTGTTAATATTGAAATGTATCGATATTTTTTTAACTGGTGTTACAGATGATTTTTCAGCAACTGGGTTGCTGCCTATGTAAAGTGTTCCAGACAGTCTTATGAGGCTTTATTTCAGTTTGAATGTTGTCTTATAAACTTACTTTGTTTTGAAATGGAACCACAGTCCCTGACTTTTTAGGCAGTGCATTTAATACAGATTTACTGTACTTAATGTGCTCAGTACTCAAGGGGGCGATATAGTTACCGACAAATGTCTGTGCCGTTAAACCAGATGTTTATTGGGTAAAATAGCTAGCCAGCTATAAACATGTCAAGAGGACTTTTTTAAAGGAATATACTAAGAAATGCAGGTGTCTAATTGATGAATTTGGGTGCATATTAGGACCATATTTTAGGTCTAAATGTATGATTATTATTATGATTGAGCATGCATGTTAAAACATCAAGAGTTTAGATTTAGTCAGTCAAATGACCTCTCTCTTTCACATACTACTCCTGTGAGCTTAGGGTCAGCCAGTGGTAAAACAGTGATGTACAGTGGGTACGGAAAGTATTCAGACCCCCTTAAATTTTTCACTCTTTGTTATATTGCAGCCATTTGCTAAAATCATTTAAGTTTAATTTTATTACATGTTGCTGTGCCAAATTAAAAACTCAAATTCGTCTTAGTTGTATATCAACAAGACGCAGCTGCTGTTTGCAGAAATTGATCTTTCAGTTGCACTGAATGATATAAAGAGAAAAATGTGAAACATATGAGAAACATTTACAACTAAAATTACATCAAGATCCCGCTGGCAAAGATGTTAGTTAGCTAGACATAATGACTTTGTGTAAATCTTGGATGCTTTCTTCTCATATGTTCTTTATTAAATGATGAGCTCTTGTGATGTGCTAATCAGGTTTAGTCGTACAGACAACTACACGTGACATTTTCCTGGACACGTTTGTTGATGGGATGCTCATTCACGTGTGCAATATGTGTTATATACAGTAATTAAGGATATGCATCATAGTTTCTAACTCAAATATATAATGTTGACAAATGTATGTAAACACATAACTCACCTGCAGGAATTCATGTATACCAGATACAGTATGTATACAGCATATATAAACAAATCATATAAACAATAAACAAATCAAACATAATATTATTTACTATCTGCCCAGATAATACACACTCTCAGAAAAACAGTAGTGAGGTGGTACCCTTCCAAAAGGTACTAGTATGTACTTTTAAAGTACTAATACTGTATGTACCCTTTAGGGGTAAATTATGTAAATGATGTAGCTTTTAGCTTTTGCACCTAGGGTATCACCCCAATGACAGCTTTGCACCTTTTTTGTGTTCAATAACGAGTCGACGTGCAATTCAAAATGCACCTCACATGCACCTTCTTTTTCGTTGTACCGTAGTAGATATTAGCATTCTATGGTGAATCTTCTCAGTCAGGTCGAATACTCCCTTGTGAAAATTAAGTGAGCTTAATTGTATTGTATGTGCACTTGTAATTTTTATTTATTTATTTTTTAACTGTACTTGCAGATAATGTAATATTAATTAAATAAAAGACCACTTAAGTGAACTTAAAGCGAGTTCACTTTCATGACTGTTTTTAACACACTCAAGTAAACTTTTAAAATGTGCACTTTGCAGTAGTGTTTTTTAAGTTAAATCTTTACCTTAAAGTACATTTTAAATCAATGTTTTAATAATCTTTTTGTCATCCTTAAGAAGAACATTTTGATGTGTTGACTAAAATACTAAAGCACATATAAAGTACTTAATTGCAATTTATCTGTAGTTATTTATTACATTTACAGTTAATATATTTAAAATGTACTAAATTGTAACTTCATCGTTACTAATGTGTAATGACAACTATATTTAAAGACATGACACACATATTTTAATAGAAATAACATCAAAGTTAATTTTAGTTTACCACAAATGCATGTCAGTACATTTGGTAGTACACTTTAACCATATTTCAAAGATGATGGAAGAATTATGATATTGCATGTAAAATGATATACTCTAAGTAATCATAAGTCCTACTTAAGTGGGTCAAAAATTGCATTTAATATAACTTTAAACTATAACAATTTTTCATTTAATTGTAAATAACATCCAATGAAGTGTTTGAAAACAGATTTATTTTGCAATGAAGTGTATTCTTTAGTGTGTATTGTGTAATGTGTAAGTGTATTCACTTTCTAATGTACAGTATATTCCTTCCATCATAAGTACTCTTTTTAAGTGTATGCTAAAGTGTACTTCTATTTCACAAAGGTTGTTAAAGCAGAGAACATTTCCCTTTGTTTGTCCAATATTGGATGGAATATCTTCACTGAGCTCATTGCAATGCATTCTGGGATTGCCTTTTTGTTGAAGTAGATGCTGCCTTAGATTGTGGCCAAAAGAAGTTATCTTAGAAGGCAGTATAATCATGCTGTCTACCGTTTGGAACAGCCTTCGCATCAGGAACATGCCAAAGATGCCTTAAAATGCTGACTGCTGTGATTTACCCTAGTGATCAAACATGTTCAGATATACAACCGGTTTGTGTGGTAGCAGAAGCTGCTCAGAACATGGGTCACTGAGGACAGATGAGGCAGATACAACTGCACTGCCAACATTTGCAATCGGCATTTGATACCACTGGCATTTCAGAATTCCTATGCCAGCAAGTCTTTGATGTGGATTTTCTGAACATGCCAACTACTTATCTTTGAGCCGGATTCAAATTGCTCCAGAACGACTTTTGGAACAAAATGTGTTGATTTTAGGACATTTATACTGACTTCAGACAGTATAAAACAGAATACTCTATACATAAAGTATAATATTTTTTTTAGAGTCCATTCCAAGTAACTAACTCTGGCAAAACAAAGATTCACAAACAGTGACGTAAACATTAGGAAGCTTGGGAATGGGTACATTATCAAAGTTGAGAGCCACCGAGTTGAGACATAGTCCTAATTGTAATGTGTAAAGATAAAATACATATTCCTACAATTTTTTGGCCACACTTTATATTATGTGGCCTTAACTACTATGTAATTAACCATTTAAAGCAGTTTACTTATTATGGCCAGACATGCTGATGCATTGTAAGTACAAGTAAAGTACTTTTATATGCATTTAATTCATTTTTGTACTTGCACTGTTAATTTTACCCCTAGCAGTAACCCAAACCCTTACCCCGAAAATCTCCAACCCTAACCCTACCCTTACTCTTAAACATAACCATGCCTCAAACTCATTGACAATACATGTGGGAATTTGTAGTTGCACAGTAAATCCAGAGTCTTATATGTATTTTAAGGGATTGTTCACCCAAAAATGAAAATTTGCTTTTAATTTACTCACCCTCAGGCCATCCATGATGTAAATGTAATAAAACACTAATAAGATAGTAAATAATGTTCAGTTTCTTGCACAGACTGATCATTTCACTCATAAGACCTCAATATATCGTCAGAAGCCACGGGTATTATATCTTTTTTTTTACTCTCAAAGTGACAGTAGCCAAGGACTTGCATTTTATGAATCACTGAGGACCACGGTTTCAGCTAAAAATCTTCAGTAACACTTTAGATTAGGGAACACTGTTCACTATTAACTAGTTGCTTATTAACATGCAGATTACTAGTATATTGGCTGTTTATTAGTGCTTATAAGTGCCTTATTCTGCATGACCATGTTTTAAATCCTTTAGCCTTATCCCTTACCTACACTTAACAACTACCTTACTAACTATTAATAAGCAGCAAATTAGGAGTTATTGAGAGAAAACTCATAATTAATAGTGAATGTGTTCCCTAATCAAACATGCTACCAAATCGTGTGTAATTATAAAAGAATCAGAAAATGTTGTTTAAAATAGTTGCAGATGAAGCATGTGAAACTGCAGGACGCTGCTGTCAATTCTTGACGTTTCATTCCTTGTGCAGAGCACACACACTAATGCGAGATAAATTGGGCTTCTGTGCAGTACACACACAAATAAAGCTTTACTGGTGACTTACTTATGGTGGCCCGTCGGTTTTCCAGGGTTGTACTGCTGGACGCTCCCAGACTTGTGTAGATTATATCTGTATGGGCTTCCATAGAGAGTTCCCTTGGCATCCGCTGAAGTCAGTAGCAGTGTGACTAACAGAAGACCCCCGTACGCGAATGTCCCCCTCATCTTTAAGTAGCAGAGCAAAGGTTGACAAAAGCACTTGCAGAAAAATCCATAAAGTGGAAGTGCACAGAGAAAGTGTATAGAAAGCAAAA